GACCACGATCCTTCTGTTTTACTCTTCCTACCATCACTGCGATGACAGGTACACACCACCATGCCCAGCTTCTTTCCATTGAAATGAAGTCTCATACTTTTTTTGCCTGAGCTGGCCTGGAACTGTTATCCTCCAGATCTTAGCCTCTTGTATAGCTTGGGATGTCAGACGTGCACCACTGCATCCAGTTATTGGTTGAGATGGGGTCTTGAGAACTTTTTGCCAGGGCTGGCCTCAAACTGCAATCCTCCCAATCTCAGCTACTCAAGTAGCTAGGATTACAGGCTTGAGCCTCCTGCACCTGGCTGCATTGTATCATTTTTACATCCTCTATTCAGACATATTAGTGACCAGAGAAAGTTGGTGTTATGTTTGGACTGATTTATCAAGTTAAGGGAATAAAATGTGATAGGATAGGGTTTACTCACATAAAAAGTAAAGTCACATATGTCCCTTGTGCATCAGGGGAGGACCCTGCATGCCAGCTCCAGGCAGAAAATGCAAATCAAGGTGTGTCATCTACTGGCTCCTGAGAACAGTTCTGAGTGCCTGTGGGAGAGTGCAGGGTCTGGGTGTGCTGGCCGGGTGTATGTCACAGTAAAAGCTGAGCTAAGACTGAGGACCACTGACCACTGATGTGACTGGTCAGCAAACTACATTCTGCAGGCCACATGTGGTACACTAAGCTAAGAATAGTTTCTGAATTTTTTAGTAGCTGAAAAAGAATATTTGCAACATGAAAAGTATGCGAAATTTGAATTTTTACGTCTGTAAATAAAAATTTAATGCACCATACCCATATTTGTTACTTTCAAATTGTTTAGGCTGATAGCAGAGATGAATAGTTGCAACAGAGGCTGGATAATCCACAAAGTCTGAAATATTTGCTGCCTGGCCCCTTAGAGAAGAAGTTAGCCAACCCCATTATAAGACATGGGCTCTGGAGTCAGTCTGCATTTATTTAAATTTTTTTTTTTTTTTTAGCTGAATGACTTTAAGCAAGAGGACCGCTCCATGCCTCCGTTTCCCCATCTTTAAAATGGGGCCATAATATTTGTTAACTTGTAGGGATATTAGGAAAAATAAACCAGTAAACTGTATATGTTTGACACTGACACAAGTTCCTGCAACTGTTGTTAGTTCATTATGATCATTTATTTATGTTAGAGTTGTTAATCACCATGAGATTGTAACTTTCTGTTTAACATGAAATGATGAAAGCAACCCAGAATGTTAAGGGGTAGATTAAATGTGACCCCTGGGAGTGTGTTTTCCAGCACACACAGATGGAGCCCTGCAAAGGCTCCATGGTATTCCTGAACATTTGAAAGATCTTTTTATAGGACCCCATCAACTCATGGGCAAAGACATAGAGCACCTGCGAGAGCAAAGTCCCTGTGCCACTGGCTACATTTCCAGCTCCTCCGTTTTGGCTCAGTGAAGGTGGAGTTTCTGGGTAACTGCAGACATGACGTAGGTCATCTTCCTACTGCTCCAGACACCACTCTGGTTGCAAAAGTGAAGTGCAGAGGAAATGAGGGAGTGCTTCCTATATGCCATTTCTATTTCAGAGGACCTATTTGTTGAAGGAAGAAAAATTGAGTTAGATCATGTTGATGTGATAGGCATTTTCTTACATCATGCAATCTGCTTTGGTTTTTACTTCTCGGTAGAAAGAATAAGAAGGTAAAAATCACTGTATCCCCTAGAGAAAAAAATGAAAATTTATTTTATTAAAAAACTTACATAAAAAACAAAATTGCATGAAATGTTATAATCCATTTTGTTTGTAATTTGACCCAAGGAATATTTTAAATTGCTGAATCAATTCCTCTGTGGAAAAAAAATGACCCCTATGCCTGCCTGTCATTATTCTCTCTTTCCCTTCCTCCCACTTCTTCCTTCTTCTTTTACTTCCTTCTTTTTTTCACTTCCCTATCCTCTGAAGAGATAAGGAAAAAAAATTGATAAAAGTCACTGTCAATTCATGATAGAAATTTACAGCAGACTTGGTACAGAAGGGACTTTTTCTACTTGATTAAAGGTATCTTTTCCATGCTCTTGGCAAGTAAATACATAAAGAGTAAATCTTAAAAATAATCACTTTAGAATCAGGAATTAGACTAGTGTACCAACTATCTCAGCTTGCAATCAACAATATGCAGGTGGTTCTGGCCAGTGTAATATGACAAGAAAACAAAAAGAATTATAAAGCTCAGAAAAGATGAAACAAAGCTATTATTATTCACAAAATACTTTCTACACAGAATGCTCATTGCCTTTTTTCTCCCCCACTCTATTTTTTAAAGTTCTTTAACGGTACGTACTCCTGCTCCCTCTTAAAGTCATGTGGTTGAGGTGGTGTGAAACAGGATGGTCTTTTTCCTAGGTTTTATATTGACTTTGCCCAGCTTGATCTGGCAGCTTGAGTTGTTGGAGTAGAATCCTCTTGCAGGTTATATTCTGTCATGTTTCTGCAAGGCCTAAAAGCATCCCTGGTATGGTATTTGCTAGTTCTCAGTGGAGCTATTTTGCTACCTGGAAACATTTTCCCAGAGGGCTCTCTTTAGACAGTGGTAAAATGTAGCTGGAGATAGACTGAGTAAATGGAAAGGAAAAATCAAATTAGGCCACAAATTGTTTTTAATCTCCTATTCTCGCCGAAGCCCTCAAGGAAAACACCATAATTCACACTTCACTCATGTGGATCAGGCAGAAACCTTCCCCCCTTAGATCCAATAACCTGTAAGTTTTCTGGTTTTTGAACTTGCACCTGCCTGCATTGCTGGATCATAGCACTAAATCACACTGCAGTGACTTCTGGGTCAATTGCTCGTTACTTGGGAATGTCAGATTGACAGAGAGCAGCCTGACTTTTACTTACAAATGGGCAGTGCCTTTGGCAAGCAGTTTTAATTGCAATCTTATGCCAGCATTTGCATTGTACATATATCTTACAGCTATGTAAATAATGCCCATCTGACTAGGTCGTGTAAAATAGACAGCATAGTCAGCAGAACCTTAGAACAGATGACACAGCAAGCAGAACAGAGCTGGATCCTCCCACAGCCTGCCAAATGTGCAGTGTTCCCTGCCCCCCCCCCCCCCCCCGTTAAAGCAAGAGCACCCAGCTGGTGTTTGCCCTTCAACCTCCCCATTCTCATACAGAATTTGTGCCCCAGCAGCTTTAGCCATGAAAATGAAACCCAGAGTCTCTGGGCTCTGAGGTTCATGCAGAATTAGCTGAGACCAAATCCTGCTATCCGCCCCTCCTCCCCAAGGGAAGCACTCGCTTGCTGCAGTGCAGTTTATGGCACCAAAGGTAGAGATCTCCCAACCCTGGCATTTCCAGACCAAATCAGGAGCCATTTAGGCAGAAGCCTAAGAGGCTGTGTGTAGAGCGTGCGCACGCGTGGATTCAGTATGCCGATGGTGCAGCTCTTACGTAAAAAAGAATTAAATCCTCCTCTGGGCGCAGCTGCTCAGGAGCCAAGCACTGGACAGGGAGCATACTGAAGGGCACTGTCACCTGAAAGCAGAGGGCTGTAGGATCTTTCTCCTCAGCACTTAGACCTCTGTAATGCAATGTCTCATATGTTGGGAGATTCATTTTGGAACCGAGTCTTTCTAGTGTTTTGAGAGTTTCCTGCTGTCTGTACAGCTTAGCATGCAAAGAAGTCAGAGATCCCTGGCAGCCTGGATTCATTCTCCATCTTAGAAAAGTAATTGACTGCCTTAAGAAATCATGAAGTTACTCTTGGTCACTCCGTGGACATTTTTTTTGAACTTCTTTTATTAAGGTTTCAAATTTTCCTACTTAAATGCAAGCAAACTTGGGGACAGTCTGTTTTGGAGAAGGCTTCTGCTTTCTGAGGCTGGCAAGGACATAAAATGATATGAGAGCTTCCTGGCGGAATTCTAGGTTCGCGAAGGATTTTTGCAAGCACCTGCTATGTTCAGTCCCTGCAAGGATGCCCTGAAGAATTGGAACTTTTGGCTTCACCCTCAATACTTTGAGAGCAATGGCTGAAAAAGAAAGATGAGCACCTGGGGTCTGCCTCAGGAAATGATTAAGGTTTGCCACAGTTGGCTACTTTGGCTTTTTCCTTCAAAATTTGGAGTCTTCATGTGCTGTCCATTGTCTTCTAACGGTCAGATGGAGCTTAGGAAGACAAGGGTAACTTTCTCTTTGTCTTTATGCAATGTTTCGTCTGTCACCCCTCTGTATTGTTTTTTCTTTTTATGGAAATCTTGTCTGCAGTCATTAAGGAGTAGGCTACCCCTCACCCATCATCCAGTTTAGAAGTAACCTGCAGGTGTGCAAATAATACTTTTTGGAAAGGTGATTTTCAAAATCAGTGGCTGTAGATAATATAGAAACCAGTGCTTACAGTGTGATTTTTCTACCTACACGTTTTCTTTTGCCATCAGGTCTTTATTTATGAATATTAATGTGTACATTTCAAACACAGCAATATAATGTACAGCAATAAAACTTTTTTAAGAAATAGATTTTAATTTGGTGGGTTAAAAACCATCTTTGTGCTTTAGCAAAGCCATTGCATAAAATGAAAGTGGCTTTAGGCAAGGTGGGGAAAGGTTTTTTAAAAGATGAAACCGGCAAGACTTATCACTGCCTGGCAAGGTCATTGGATGGGAAACCAGAGGTCACTTTTCTTTACAGAAGGAGTGGAAGGAATGGTTGTACCAAGTGAAAGATTCTGAATTAAGAACAGACATATGTTGGGGGTGTTCCCTCACCCTGCCCTTCTGCTGCCCTGACTGAGCTGCTTCTGTCAACATCCTCTGTCATTCCTTCTTTCCTGCTTAGAAGCAGGATCACCTCAACGGAGCTGGAGTGAGATGGGACACTGTTTATATGCTGCAGATTGGTGTACTGCTAACAGCTTGTGGAGTGGGACATGGTTTGTGGTAGAGTTAAGTTGTCTTCAGAACTGACCTTGTTCCCTCTCCTTTTTTTTTTTTTTTTTACCCTACAGGAACCTAGTAATAAACGAGTCAAACCCCTTTCCAGAGTGACATCACTAGCCAACCTCATTCCACCTGTGAAGACCACACCGTTAAAGCGCTTCAGCCAAACTCTGCAGGTAACAAGGGCACAATGGGCTTGTAAATGTGTAGAAAGAGACATCTTGTCCTACCCAGACTTCTGGTTTCAGATTGACCTGAATCAGTGCTTATTTCAGTAAACCAGTGCAAGTGTGAAGACTGAAAGGAAGAAAAATATTTTCAAGTTGCAACCTAGAGTCAGTCAGAGTCAGAGCCATTTCTCTTGGGTTTTTTTCTCACAATCCTATTTCCAAGGTATGTGTTCTTCCCAGACGTGCTCTTGCAGGTTTTGTCCTCAAATATCTCTGGGATCCTAAGGAAACAAGCACATGATGTATGCTGCAGGGTAGCAGAACCTGGTAGCTTCAACCAAGTGTGAGACAAAAATCCAGCCTGCCACCTGGGTTTTTATGGCCTATTAGCTAAGAATGGTTTTTACTTTTTAAAGTGTTTGGGAGGAAAAATGAGATATTTTTTAATTTGTGAAAACAATATGAAATTCAAACTTCCATAGTAAAGTTTTGTTGGAACACAGCCATGGCTGTGTTCACTTACTGTCTGTGGCTGCTTTTGAACCACAATGACAGAGTTGAGTAGTTGTGACAGAAACCATATCGTTTACAAAACCGAAAATATTTACTATCTGGTCCTTTACAGAAAATGTTTGCTGACCCTTGTTTGAGGGTCTGGAAAGATCTCGATTCCAACTTTAGCTCTCCATTTGAAAACTTTGTCACATGAGTGACTTCTTATCCTAGGTCTTGCTTTTATTCCTTATGGACAAATTCGTCACAAGGTCACCAGTTCCTTTGTAGAATCATTGTAAAAATTTATCAGACAGTAGATTCAGAGGGCCTGGTCTAGCAACCTGGCCTTTAGTTAGCCATCAATGATTTTCTGATAGTTAAGAAGTAAATAAATTGGCTACTATAGTAATTTTTTACTTAACAAGTGTTCATAGTTGTTCTTTAATTCCTGATGAAGTTTATGTTATAAAATTGAGATTTGTCCAAGGCCTTTTATTTATTTATTTCATTTTATTTATTTATTTATTTTTGGTGGCACTGGGATTTGAACTCAGAGCCTCACACTTGTAAAGCAGACACTCTACCACTTGAGCCACTCCACCAGCCCTGTCCAAAGCCTTTGACCCAACTCATTAATCATAAAAATATCCACAAAAGTCAAGTCAAGGAAAGGCTCACCCAGTTTGGCTGAACAGTAGTCTTGAGTCTGCCACTTCTCATCTGTCCTAAATGCTTTTGCTTGGACATATTTTTAGCTTTGCTTTCTGAGTATTTAAGATAATAATGGACCAGAACCCGAGATATTTCCCATGCTATGAAAACCCATGACTTGAGAACCATTTGGGGTTCTTTCTCACCTGTTTCTGTTCAGCCAATATGCCATGAATCCACAGAGCCCACTCTGTCCTTGCTATTTTCCTCCAGACACCATCCCTCTCTAGCACATATCCCGCCCTGTCCTTCCTCTGCTAACTCTGCTAAGCACTTGCTTCTAAATCAGTTCTTTATCACTCAATTAGCTAGAGGTTTGGCTCAGTTTATGTCAGTGCTTGGGCCTCTGGGCCCCTGAATATCCCCTGATCTCTTTTGTTGAAGAACAGGAGAGCATGAAAATAAGGTCATCTGGGGGAGCCAGGTGAAGGCCTGTGAAGCTGGTGAAGAAAGATGTTTACTGGCTATCCCTCATGACCAGTCAGTCCTTCAGCCCTCCAGACAAGTTCATCACAGGCTTCCACTGGAAGATTCATCACCTCAGAGCCCAGCACATCTGGCCTTTCACTGAGTTCCACTTTTTGAAAATTCTTTAGCCTATTGATTGCATTTGACCCTTTCCTCTCCATCCTAGAAGGTATGGTTCAAGTTCATATTGTAGCTGTTTCCACTCTTGATTTGGGACCCCCATGTCACTGGCTATCTTTTCCCATTATTTCTCCAAGGACTGTCCACCCTGCAGCCAGAAAGACACCCATTCCACAGGTAGTAAGTGAGCCCTCATCCTGCACCAGCCTCTTCTTCCTGTCCTCACATTGCTATGTTCGAGACACAGTTGCCTTCTAGTACATTCATGGCAGGGCTGGGCCTGTGTTCTCACATGGCCTTAATGAGTTGAACCTGTCCCCTTTGTATGCCCCCCAACCTTACTCTCCCACTTGGTCCCTTCCCTTGGCTGTCATTGCCTTGCCTGGACTGGCTTTTGTGCTCCTGGTAAGAGTACTGTCTCCACCACTGCAGCCTGGCCCCAAGTGCTCATTATGTTAAGACATCCAGTCTTTCTTTTGGTTTCCCAGGCAATCTTTATTTCTTTTTTCCTGTTCCTGGGAATCCTACACAGGAAGCTGCAGGAAATATTGACTATATTTCACCTTGGAAATTGGCATTGACCAAGAGAACTGGGACAGAAAGAAATCAAGGCATGTCTGAGATCCAGTAGACTGAGGCCAAGCAAGAATGAGAAAGCTAAACCCAAGGGAGGGTCTGACCTGTGGAAATTGGTTTCCAAAGCCTCAAAGATTTTTTTTTTTATTGGCAAAATAAATTTTCTACTTACCTTTTCCAAATGTCATGATAAATAGTAACTCCAGGCTACACATAGAGGGCAAAAATAACTCAGCAAAAATAGAAGAGTTACTTGGCTAGTCAGCTAGTCACATTGGTACACCCCTATAATCTCAACACTCTCAAGGTTGAGGCAGAAGGATCAATTTTGAGGGCAACCTGGGCTACATAGCAAGACCCTGAGTAGAAAGAGGAAAGGAAGAGGGAAAGGGGAAGAGAGAGGAGAGGAAGGTGGAGGAAGGGAGGAAAGGAAAAGAAATAGAGCAATAATGACAGAATATTGAGCAGCGTGGTTTCTGTTAAGCTGTCCTTCCCCTGGCTCCTGGCACCTTAGAGACATGTGGATCTCTTTGGATATCCAGTATTGTCTCCCAGGGTGGGTTCCTTTAATTATAGGATAAGAGATGACTTAGGCCCAAACGTGATGCTTTCATCGATCCTGGAGCACTTAGCAGCTTTTCTGGCTCCTTGGGAGACCACAGTTAGCACAGGAGGACATCAGGGCACTCTGGGTTGGCAGCCTCTTCCAAAAAGATTAAAAGCCCATTCACAAGTGTGAGTGGTCCTTGCAGCAAGACACTACAGGATTTGTTCTGTCTTGCCTCCCCAAGCTCATAGGGCTGGGGGCTCGGGCCTCAGCACAAAGGCGGCATTTGTGGACATTGGGGAGGGACAGCCTGACTGTATGCCTCTCTGTTCCTCACCAGGAAGGTTAGCATAGTGCGACCGGTAGACTAAAGCACAGATGTCTGACTCCTCCAGGCCTATAATCCCCTCCTGGCCTGCCTGAGAGGAAAACCTGGCCCAGCTCTGAAAGGGGCTGGCATGTGCTCCTCCGGTGCAAGTAGGAAAAGCATACTCTCTGTGGACCAGATGCACACAGAGCCCTGCTTCTCTATACACAGCTGTGCACCGCTGCAGGACACATTTGAGCCAAGTCCAGCCAGTGATGCAGTGCTATGCTTGCTACCCTGTGATGAAGCCCTTCTTCCCTTTGGACATGAACATTTTTTCTGTTATAAAAGATCATTATGGAAAAAGAGAAAGAGAAAAGAATATGTGTAGTTTTCCACTCCAAAACAGCCCCTGTTGTTAATAGTTTAATAATTTCCTTCCAGAATAATTCTGGGCATACATATGTACCAAAGAGCCCCTGAACTTAGTTGAAGTCGCAGTCTTTCTAGTTTCTTCTGTGTGATTTGCTCACTGTGGGGCTAAAGCCTCCATGGTGACAGGAGAGGATTGGTGACCTGTGTGTCTCCATCTGTCCTATCTTCCCATGCTTCCAGGCTCTGAAGTTAGGTGCAAACATGCTTTTTTTCTGTCACTGGTACAGCCCCTTGGGTATTGCACCTTCATTTAAAGTTAATACCCCTGGTTGTTTCTCTTAATGCCTTTTGCCTTGGATTTTATTTTGTCTTTTTTTTTTTTTTTTTTTTGCTTTAGCATCTTTTGCTCCATCTCTCTATTTTCATCCCTTTGTCATTTAGCTAGATGAGAAGTTTTATGTAGGATGAGAAGTACTGTATCACAGTTATTTATGGAAGATAGCATTTTTATGGGCTGACTCTATAATATTCCAATGTATTGATATGATTAATTTTACATAACTTGTCTATGAGTGGGTATTTAGGCTGTGGGTTTTTATGTTGTTAGATAACTATTTGGAATGTCTGTTGAAGACATTTATCCTATATTAAAAAAATACTTCTTATTATATTTTCTAATCATATAGCATCATAAAAAAATTGAAAATGTAGTGAAACATGGAAGAGGGATTAAAAGTCACTTGTAACCCCTCATTCCTGTCACCAAAAGCTTATGTTAACCTTTTGGTGTATACTCAGACAGTCTTTTCATTTACTATACACCTGCATTTGTATTTTTAAAAACAAAATCATAAGCATATTATATATGCTGTTTTAACTTGCTTTAGCCTTTTTTTTTTTCTTTTGGTGGACTGGGGTTTGAAACTCAAGGCTTTGTGCTTACAAAGCAGGCACTCTACCACTTGAACCATACCTCCAGTCCACTTTGGTCTGGTTATTTTGGAGGTGGGGTTTCTACAAACTATTTGCCTGGACTGGCCTCGAACCTGAATCCTCCTGATCTCAGCCTCCTAAGTAGCTAGGATTTATAGGCATGAACCACTGGCACCAGCTAACTTGCTTTAGTCTTCATAATATAAAACAACCTCACAGTATAAGAATTTTTTTCATGTCATTAAATATTTTCCATGAGCCTGATTCTTAATGGGTTCCTACAGTGAACCCATCAAAAAGATGTATCAGTTAATAATAATTAATAATTGCTTTCCTATTGTTAAACAGCTGCCTTCTCATTTTTTCACATTTATATATAACACCTGCTTTAGATATCTTAATCACAAGTCCTTTTTTTTTTTTATTATTTTTTGGGTGCCTTGGGGTTTGAACTCTGGGCCTCATGCTTGCTAGGCAGGTGCTGTAGCACTTGAACCACACCTCCTTTTGTGTATGTGTGTGGTACTGGCATCACAAATCTTATATGTGTTTGTATATCTTTCTTTCCTTTGATTATATCCCTAGAAGTGGAATTCCAGCCAAAGTTATGTATGAAAACCAAGTCATTTGATATAGCTAGAGTTCTATTCTTGATTGCATGTCAGTTTTTTGGGAGAATGCTTCTCTGTTCTCACATCCTAAATCTAGACTCATAATCACATTTCAGGTTCTGTTTTGCCACAGGTCACAAGATATCCCTTCCGAGGGTCCCTTGTCTTTTCTATGACAAGGTT